CTGACTTCAGGCTATCTCTGCTCCAAGCAGCCCCCAAACGCCCGCCACCTGCCATCAGTGGTTGGCACAGAAAAGCCACTTATGTAAGGTGCGTGCTGCTGAAAGTGGCTTCATTCACAAGTCCCTGCCTGTCACTGTGGAGATGCAGTGAAGGGAAAAGAGGAAAGAACAGGACAGCTGGAAGCATCAGGCAGGAGCTGAAGCGGAAGAGAATTCCTCTTTCCATCTCTCTTCCCAAACCAGACACGGCTTGATGCCATGAGAAGAGCCCCTGTTGGTGGTTAATTGTGGGAATTGTGGGAGGTGGGCGCACCCCAGCCTCTTGAACCACGGTCTCCTGCTCTCTGGCTGGCTCACTGAGGCAGAGTTGGCCACGGCTCCAGTGCAATGAGATTCCAGGCTGCATTATATCATTAAAGCTAATGAGAGCAGGACAACAGCCTCAAGGAAACTGGTGCCATGTTAGAACCCAGAGTCCCCCAAAGTTAGCAGGAATGGGGACAGAAATCAGAGTGTGTGTGGGAACCGGGTCCAGATCTGAGTTCTGTGCAGCCTCTTTGGTGCAGAGGCCTGGCCTCAGGGAGCAGCTCAAGTCTCTCTACACACTAGTACTGTCTGAGTGTCATCTACACAAGGACTCCGTAGTCTTCCAAATGCCTTCACTTAGAGCCCTGGGCACTGTGAACATGCAAGTGCCCACACTCAAGAGTTTGGGAATCAAAAGACGCCTGATAACAAGTTACTAGGGGATTTTGTGGATCACATAGCAAACCAGCCATTAATCCAGGTCCTCGGCCTCCCAGGTGCAAGTGAGGGAAGGCTGGTACCTGCCACCCTGCCCAGCCAGCCAGACAGCACCTTTGACCTTTCTCAGTTCTCTGCTGCCTCTGCCACCCCTGCAGATCTGATTGATACCAAGTCCTTCTCTGCTGCAAAACCCAAGCCTGCCTCACAGGTAGGAAGGCATAGACTGCATTACTATAGTGCAGATGACAACCACAGCTGTACCGACCCTCCGCCCACCCCACCCCAGAAGCCTCCGACATCAGTCACTGCTTGGGACAAGGAGTTAAACTTCTGCACAGAATTTCATCCATCCATGCGCACTGTGCTTCAAGGCGTCCAGAGACCCCTCCTGTGCCCTCCCCCAGCCCAAAAGCACATATTTCCCAAAGGAAATGAGACCTTGTCCCAGTATTCAGCCTGGGTCTGAGTACACCATGGGGACTCAACAAGGGAATCCACAGCAGTGAGTGTCAGACAAAAGAGGGAGCTGCCTGCAACAGATCTGAGGTGAGAGCAAAATCCCAACAGCCCTGTCAATGACTCATCACAATCAGTGAACACTAGTGGATCGCCTACTGCATACATGCCTCTGGATCGCCTACTGCATACATGCCTCTGACTAGACTTAAAAGGCAGCTCTCAGACTGACCCATCCATTAGTCAATCAATTAACATCTCACCCATCAGCTGCATTCAGCCAGTTGATAATGAGACCCTGCTGGGTTCATCTTGACAACCTAGCCCCCTTAAGGGCTCTACCATGTAGCATCTTAAGCCCTTGAGGAAGAAACCCCAGAAGAGGTAAGGACTCCTAGGTGGAAGAAAAGCAAAAGTCCACGCCTTGAGCTTATAAAATGGGATGACTCAGCAAAATCTCCAGGGCACCTGGAGCTATGGGAAACATAAACCTTGTAAATTTTCTCTAACCCTCCCTATGGACACCCTGAACAATGGCCTGGGACTTGCTTGGAATGTCTCAAGCCTGGTAGAAGAAGGTCATTGCGTCCACTTTACAGACGGGGAAACTGAGGCCTCAGATCCCACAGCAAGTCTGTCTTGCTCCCTTCTGGGTCTCACAGCTGTGTTCTGGACCCAGGGGTCCTTCTAGGCTCCCCTTTACCCAGGCTTGCCTCAGTGTGAACAATGTTGCTTTTAACACATCCCCCTCAATTCCCCCACCCCCAGCCCCCCAGCCAGGGTTATTTACCCCCATGCTTATTCCTTGTCAGCCTCAGAACTAAGCACCTGGCACTCATTAACTCTTAACTGTCCTTAATACTGTCACCACCCCCATTCTTCAGATGAGGTAAGTGAGGCCCAGGGACATGCAACTGTACCCACAGTAAGTGCCAAAACCAAGATCTCAGCTCAGGGGATCCATCGCCAGAGCCTGTGGTCTTAACCACAATACTGCTTTACCTTAACCACCTAACAGAGGAAACTGAGGCTCAGAGAGGTTAAGGGCCTGCCTGAAGTCACACAGCCCCAGCACCCACACTGCAGTTCCCAGACTGGCAGGCAGACAGGCAGCAGGGATGATGGGCTGTATCTGCACCGTCTCCTCCTCCGAACACATGAGCCTCTCCCATCCTGGGTGGCGGCAGAAGAATTTAGATGCTTCGACTCCAGCCCACCACTCCTTGGTCCTGGGTTTATTTTTATCCAAGTTAAGCCACAGCTTTTAACAGAAATAAACCCCACTACCTCAAAACTCCAGCTTGTCTGCTTACAGGACCCTGCTACCAGGCCCTTGCAAGAAAAAGACAGAACCATATGTTGGTTGGGGGGTTGAGGGGGAGGGTGACAGAAAGCCAGTGTCTGTGAGCAATACAGAAAAGGAAAGGGTTAATAAAGACTCTCATGGCCTACATACCCCACGTCCTACAAGCCACTACCACCCACCCCCCAGCAGCTACCCACCCCGAACACAGACACAGTGGCTAAGTGAACAGGGCAGCAGGAGCAGCTGGGACCTACACTCCTCCACCCTGGTGGACCCGTGGAAGCCCCTTCTACAATAACTATACATATCTGCCTCCAGGGCTCAGTTTCCCAAACCAGTACAGGTTTGGAGGACTGACGATTGTGTCCCTCCCGTACACCAGGGTAGGGATGGGAAGTGGGGGCTGCTAGGACATAGTGGGAAGAGGATGCATTGCTCGATTGTGTCCCTCCCGTACACCAGGGTAGGGATGGGAAGTGGGGGCTGCTAGGACAAAGTGGGAAGAGGATGCATTGCTCTCCCATGAAGGTAGAGTCCAGCAGGGCAAGGCCACGACTTGCTGTGTGATTAAGGGACAAGGTGTTGCCCTCTCTGAGCCCCTCTGAAAGTTGAGATTAGAGAAAGATACTAGTTCTCCCTAAAAGTACGGCCACCCTCTGCTTCAACAGCAGCACCAGCTGTCATGAAGATCAGGGGATCTGAATGAAGCCTTTGTCACCCAGAGCAGCTGGGGAAACTGAGGCCCAGAAGAGGAAGAGAAGCCCTGAGACTCCAAGAATCTTTCCGGAAGGTTCTGCCTGTTTCTCCCACTGGTGCACCCCAATGCACCACTGGTGTGACAGGAGAAGGCAGACTCCTGGCTCTCGGCCACCCCCAGGGAGGTGAGGGGGCAGGGAGATGGCTGGGAAGCTGTCTGGCCATCCCAGGCCTGGACTGTTCCAAGGGGCTGTCCTGCACTGCAGGGTTGGGAACTAGAAGCCGACTAGGGGAGTGTTCCATGGTAGCTGAGACACTTTCCTGGGGCCCTTGGGGTCTCCCTTGATAATCCTCCAAGCCCTGCAGCCTCCCCACAGCCCAGCAGTTGAACGGTTCACCCTCAATACATCAGTGGGCCTCAGTGTCCAGCCACAGTCCATCTGACCAAAGAATGTGAAGGTCCAGTATTTAAAATATCATCCATGGGCAAGCCTGCAGTTTCTTCACTTTCTATTCATACTTACAACCTCCTGGAGAGGCAGTTTCCTCAAGGTCACCCAGATGGGAAGCCAGGACTCAGGACCTTGGCACTAACCACCAGGCCACCTATGCTCTTCTGTGTCCTGACCCTGAGCTCTTTGATCCCTCTAGGACCTGAGGCTGAGTGACCCTCATGACATTTCCAACTTGCCAGTCCCTGGGGCTAACCTTGTCTTCTTTCTACCTCCTAAGACCAACTTCCTGAAGCAATTCCAGTGAATAGAGAGACTGAAGTAGCCTCTGAGTAGATCACAGTGCTAAAAATAAAGACTTTCCTTTTCAAAAAAAAAAAAAGGTAGAAGAATTAAGGCAGAAAGCAAAGTGGAATCTCTTCCCATATATCACAGATTACTGGCAAAAGCATTTTAAAATTAAAGACAAGCTTTGGGATTGAGTGGTGAGGGGCCTCTGCTTCCTACTAGCTAAAGGTTAGTGTGGGGCTGCCCTCTTGGGATGTCAAAGAAAGAAACTGGTGTGGGGTGAGGTTCAGCTAGTCCTGAAACTGGGGGCCTAGGAATGGAATTCCTGTCCTCCTCCTCAATGATGAGATGGGCTCAGTGACAGGGTTCCTGTGTCACAACCACACACATACCTCCTTCCAGTCTCTTACAGGTGACACCACCTGTAAAAGCACCCTTAGCTTGTCGGGCAGCCTACTGCTTGGTCATTCATGCCAAGATAGAAGGTGGTGCTTTCATGGATCCCTGCTCTCCCATCTCAGGACAGCTGAGTTTGCAGAACCCACCACAATTCAATTACTCAGCGGGCCCTGGCAGAGAGCCCCATCTGAGCTCAGCCCTAGGCAAGCACTGGCCCAGGATTCCCAGGCAAGGGTTAACCTTCCAGTCTCAGGTGACTCTCTCCCAACCAGGGCCAAGGTGCCCACCCACCAAATCAGAGCACCCAGAGGCCCCCTGTATCTGACTAGCCAAGAAGGGTTAACTTCAGGAGCTGCCAATGACTCTCCCCAGCTTCTGCTGCAAAGAGGGCAAGATGGGCAGAAGCTACTCTCTCACTCACGTTGCCTGAGCAAGCACACATTTGCCCCCTCCCTGGGCACTGAGCTAAAATCTCATTTGTCTCTAGAGTGTGTCTATACTGATAAAACCCTGCAGAACGCAGGCAGAGAACTATGGCCATTTCTCAACAGCCCTACCTTCCCCACGACCCTCTCTTCCAGCTGATGCACACACATCTCAGTTAGGGTAATGAGGTCTCCTAGTTAATTTGCACAACCAGGAAGAATGTCACTCACCAGGACAGTAGAGGATTGCAGCAGAATGGGTGAGTCAAATTCTTGCCAACTCCTTGCCTTCCCTGCCGGCAGAGAGATGTTAAGTACTGGAGACTTGGCTTGAAAGATCAGCAGTCGTGCCTGAAAGAAAATTGTGCATTTGATTCTCCTGGCCTTTCCAAAATAAAATCAAGGCATCAGCACACACACATGCCCCTAAATCATGCAAAAGCAAGACAAAAAGAAATACCCCCAGCAGAGGCGAAAACTAAGTACAGTTGGAGTCTGCAGACGGTGGGCAGTGATTCGCTCAGACTACTCCACATGGATGGAAGGTTTTGTAAGTCTCTCTCTCTCTCTCTCTCTCTCTCTCTCTCTCTCTCCTCTCCTCTCCTCTCCTCTCCTCTCCTCTCCCCTCTCCTCTTCTCTTCTCTTCTCTTTTCTCTCCTCCTCTCCGGGCAGCGTAGGCAACTATGGACTGCGGGCAGTAGACAAATCAGTTGCTTCCCCAGTGCCCAATCCGGCTGTCACCACTACCGCAAAAACCCTGTGTGATCCGGAGGGAGGGGCAGCCGCTTCCCCGCCGCGTAGGGGAGCCGAGTCTGCCTCCCACCGCGATGCATTGTGCCGCGTTGCTTGCGGGAGGAGAGGTGGGAGGCCAGGAGGGGAGGCTGGGCGCCCCAGAAGGATCCGGATTGGCAGTCAGCACCACGGACAGCACCAGGACGCAAGCAGAGGGGAAGGGCGGCCGCCAACCCCAGACAGAAGACGGGAAGTTATTGGATGACTAGGGAAAGGGGGAGGCCAGAGTAGAGGCACAGGGACCGGTCTGTCAGACTGCATATGGGCCACCTCACTGCACACTTATGCTAATATTGCCAAGTGAACTGTAACTTCGCAGCCCCTCTCCCCTCAACAACCACTGGCCTTCACTGGTCTCTGTAAATGTCTCCCTGTAGCTTCCAAAATCATTCGCGTTGTTGCTGAAGTCTGCACCTCAGGCTCAGAAGACAGCCGGATGAACAAGGCTAGGAAAGCAAGGGTGCTTTAAGGGGACAGTGATTTGGTTAAACAGTCCCTGTGAAACCTTGGGAACATCACTTAATGTGTTTGGAAAATGAAGGCATGACTACTTCATTTTCCTAACGACGAGAAGAATGAGGCTAAAAAGACAGCAATTGGAATGCCCATACTAGGGGCTGCTACAATTCTAAAATCTCTAACCCATTCTATGATTCAAATGTTTTGATGGAGATAAAGGAGTTGACAGCCAACCAGGATGGCACATGCCAACCTGCAGCATGTGGTTTGAGTGGGATGGAGCTGAGAATTCTGGGAGTTCCAGAGCAGACATGATCCTCTGCCAAAGACCCATCTCCCCAAACCAGACTGGCTTTCTGAGGTAAAGTCACTACACACAGGAAATAAATCACTGGGGGGAGTATATACAATGGGAATGAGTTCCCATGGCACCAGCATCCCAGCTCCCAAGGGTTCTATTCCTGCCAACTGTGAGAAAGTGTTCGTGCTGGAGAAGGAACGGGAGAACTCAGACAAGCCAAGAGTCACTTAGAACCTCCCAGCAAAGCAAGGGAAGTCCTTCTCTCCATTGGAGACTCATGTAGTTTCCCATCAATGGCCCAGGGTGAGTCACTACGTTTGCCACTAAATTCTCCCTTTGAGAAGTAGGATCCAGACTGTTGGGATCTGAGGGAACCATTTGGAGCTCGGCTCTGTAGACGATCATTATGGTGGTGTTGATGACAGTGGCGGTGATCTGGGTGATAACAGCAGTGCATTGACAGTGGTAGTGGTCACTATGGTGATGATGACAATAACTGTGATGGTGCTGATGATAATGGTAATGTTGTTGTGATGGTGATGATGGCATGAAGATGATGACGATAACTGTGATGGTGCTGATGATAATGGCAATGTTGACAATGGTTGCAGTAGCGATGGTGGTGGTACTCATGGTGTTAACAGTGGTGGCAGTGACAGTGGTGGTGGTGGTGATGATGGTGACAATGATTACATTGATTATGATAGTTATGGTCATGTTCAATATTAAGAACTTGCTATGGCTTGCTATTAAAGGTGGTGTACACCTTTAATCCCAGCATTTGGGAGGCAGAAGCCAGCAGATCTCTGAGTTCGGGGGTCAGCCTGGTCTACAGAGTGAGTTCCAGGAGAGTTAAGACTACACAGAGAAACCCTGTCTCAAAAAAACAAATAAAAGAAAGAAGGAACCTGCTATGTTCCAGGAGTTCATCATGTGAGTTCTGGGATCTTCTGTGCCACCCCTCCCCCAGGCTGCTGTCATTCTCATTATATAAACAAATTCAACTCCTGGCCCAAGGCTACACAGTGACACTCACAGGAATCAGACTCAGGGTGTGTTCCCAAAGCATGCGCACTGTGGGTACCCTTAAATTTGGGGGCAAGACCTCACTGAGTATTTTCCTAAACACGGAATAAATCCATTTCTCTCACTTCACAGATGGAGAAACTGAGGACCCAGGAGGTGAGAAAATCTCTTTAGTCAAAGACCTTGCGAGCAGAATGGAAGGCATAACTGCAAGACTTTAGATGCCAGAGCCTGTGTTCTTATCCTAGACAAGCCCAGCACAGAGTAAGCTCTCAACAAACATTTCAACAGCCATTCAAGAAACTCACAGAATGACAAAAGATGATGCAACAGAACCCAAATATTTCCCAGGAGTCTTAGGTCCTAGACCCTGAATTCTACCCCAGTGTGGCTTCACTGGCCATGAGGCCTGCATCCTGCGAGGACCTGTCTCAGAGTCAGTGCTGTCTTTGGAAAGAAACAAAACCAGCTAATACAAATGCCAAGACACCTACTGTGTGTCCAACCCAGCCACAGTTGCTGTCTTGTGTCTTCATAATGACATGAGGTCATTTAAGCTGCTCAGCTACAGATGAGGAACCAGGGGCAGGGGAGGGATGAAGCCCCAAACTCACAGAGTCAGGGAGCAGCTGACATGAGAGGACATCTGTCTGTCGACATCTGTGTCTTTATCACCCTCTCTCTTGTCAGGACCTCTAAACCTCCCAGGCAAAGGTAAAGGAGGCCTGGACTGATAACCCCCACACATACCCTGAAGAACCTGGTTTTAACTGGATGTTTCTAGCTGCTTCTATATGCTGGGCTCCTGCCCAAGCTTCCCTGAAACAGGGTTCTGTCACAGAATTTTAAAAGTAACATGGTTAAACATCAGCAATGCACCCTCCTAGATGTCGGCCCTCTAGGAATATGCATCGTCTTCTCACCCACCTTCCCAGCTCCCTGCTCAGTATCCAACCTGCTCTTCTGCCCCAAGTGCGCTGAGAAGCCATTCAGAGCCAGCAGCTGCTAGAAGCTCTGGCAGCCACTGCAGTAGGGAACTGCCTGGAAACCAGATTCCTTGAGGCTGCTCCCTGAGGCTTCATTCAAGCCAGAGCTTGCAAAGAGCACCCTGAGGGGCTGGGTGCAGCCACCAGCTGTCTTGTCCTGTTCTTCTTCTGGTGCATAGCTGGTTAGGACACTCAGCCATTCCAGCAGGATGGACCATGATGGCTCCAAGAGAACTATCTAGCACCCCAGGCTCTTCCGGAGCTCCATACTGGTGTGTGGGGGTGGGGGGTGCATGTCCACGCCCACAAGCAAGCGTGTGCAAGTGTTTTCCAGTTTTATTCCTACTGCTGTGATAAAACACTCTGACCAAAAGCAGTTTGAGGGGGAAGAGGCTAGAGAACCAGCTCAGCTGTTAAGAGCGCTCACTACTCTGGCAAAGGACAAGGGTTTGGCTCCCAGCACCCACATGCAAGCTCACAACTGTCTGCAACCCCAGCTTCAAAGCATCCACTGCCTCTTCTGGCACCAGGCACACATATGGTACACAGACATACATGCAGACACTTAACATACATGCATAAAAATAAATGCTTTTTTTTTAAAGATGGCAACTTAGAAGAAATGGACTGGTTCCAACTTACAGTCAATCCGTCATTGAGGGAAGTCAGGGCAGGAACTGGTGCGGAGACTTTGGGAATGCTGCTAGCCAACTCAGTTGCAGGCCATCTCAGCTAGTTTCCTTAAACAACCCAATCTGCCCAGAGAATGATGCCGCCCACAGAGGGCTGGCCCCTCCTACATCGATTAACAATCAAGAAAATGCCCCACAGGCCAATCTGATAACAACAATTACTCAGCGGAAACTCTTCTGGTGACTCTAGGTTCATGCTAAACGTGTAAATGTATGTGTGGTATATATGTACGTGTTTGTTTCAGCTCCTCTGCACCAGAGGCCAAAGGACAGTGTTGGTGACTTGCTCTATCACTCTCTGCCTTTGTGGGAGATGGAGGGTACACACAACTGGGGGAGGGGGGGCTTCTTGGTGTAGGGTCTCTTGCCTGCACATCCCCAGGCACCCAGGCTGTATCCTTCAGGACAGTTTGAAGTGATCGGATCAGCGTGCCCTTCAATCAAGAGGACACTCAATGTTAACTCCTGGGACCAGGTCAGGCCTCCAGTACTATTGGTTGCTTGTGTCTGCTGTGAGAAAAGATCACGTGATTAGTAGTTTAAAAAACCTCCACAGCTGTGAGAGCTTGCAGGTCGGGGGTCAGGGGTCTTTCCGTGAAGATACCCACTGGGCTGCACTTCCCCGGAGGACTGAAGGTGTTTTGCCTTTCCAGCTTCTTGAGGGTGAGGGGAGCTGGGGAGATGGCTCAGCCGGTCCCCAGCTATTCAGCCTCTCCCCTTTCAAATCACTTTGGTCAGAGTGTTTTAACACAGCAGTGGAGGTGAAACCAGGAAGCAAGCTGTGAGCCTCTTGTCTCCTCCCTTCACGTGATATGGTTACAGACATGTGGGTGCTGGGGATCTGAACTCAGGTCCTCACGCTCGTGCACCAATCTTTTTACCCGCTGATCCGATCACTTCAAACTGTCCTGAAGGATACAGCCTGGGTGCCTGGGGATGTGCAGGCAAGAGACCCTACACCAGGAAGCCCCCCACCCCACGCAAGCTGTGTGCACCCCTCACCACAGCCTCCCCACTCCAGGGAGACACTTTCAGCAGGACAGGGAGGAAACGAAGCGCCAACCACAAGCTCCTTTCTGAGGATCAGAGACAGAACAAGAAAAAGAAGCAGAGAGAAGCCAGTACAGAGGAGGGGGAGAGATGCATGGGGGAGAGGGGGGTGAAAGAAGGGCAGGTGGGCCGCAGGGACCCCTGGGTTCAGCCTGTATGACCAGACAGTTCTTCTCACCAGTCAAAGGGGTTTGTCCTGGGAGCTCATTGCACCCCCAGACAGGTAATTACAGAGGCGCTGCAGCAGGGTTCAGGGAGACAGATGAGCCAGTATTACTTATTAATCAGCCAAGTTTGGAGTTATCAGGCAAGGCGCCGCGCACCCCTGGGGACTTGGAAGTGGTGATTCAATTCTTGGTTCATCTTCCTGCTGGTGGTTTGACCTTGGCCCCGTGGCAAACATACTCTAAGCCTCAGTTTCTCACCCAAGAATGGGGAGTAGACCACCTCCCCTGCCTGCCTCCATTATGCCGGGGGATGTTCATCTGAGCTAACCACTGTGAACGAGGGCCTTCTTCACCAAATAGCAAACAGCAGCTGTCATTAAGCACCTACTGTGTGCCTCTTTCATCCCCAAGGACTGTAGCTAAGTAGGTGGCAC